CCGAGGGTCCTTCTGGGCGAATGGTAAGGTATCCTCGATGTGCGCTATCGCCTGGGCGGCGCGTGCCACTGACCCGACGGAAGGGAGCGGCCAACTCCAGAACGAGAAGTGAGGCATTAGAAACGCACGCTTGATCGGGGGGAGCGCGGACGCCGGCGCCGCGTACGCTGGCCTTGAGTACGACCATGCTGTCCCGTAGGGCTGGTCGCGTATATTCAGCGAGAAGACAGTGTCAGGGAGCTTCTCCGGGGAGGTTATGATTGCTCGGTTGATCTGGTGCAGCGCTGCATCGCGGGCCTGTCTGGGGTTATTACGGACGCTTGTGACGGGGGACTCGGGTTCTACGTACCTGGAGAAGCTCGGGGGAGAGTCTGTCCCTGTCCTCCGCGTGGATGATATAGAGCTGTTAGTAGTACGATTAACATAAGACTCTTAGGGGATGTGAGTTATCGATATCCTCACTCGTCCGTCCTTGATCCGGGCTTGGAGAGGGCCGGCGCCATGCGCTTGCTTCAGCGTGAAAGGGCCAAGCGCCACAGTGGTATCGAGGTCCTTAGTCAGGTCTGGAAACGTAGCTTTGCATTCTTTCTCGCTGAGTCCTAGGGACTTGTATACGTCTGACGAGGGCCCGCTAGCGGGTATCGAATGTTGAAGATTACGATGCGGGCTTTCTTTCCCGCGGGATCGCGCGAGAAAGATCAGGTATACCAAAAGAGAAGATACGAGTAGTATCCACAGTCTTCCCACACGCGCTAATGGATTTCGGTGCATCCTGTAGCTGGCACGAGATTGTGTGTGAATCATCTATAGAGATGTTCGGTGAAGCTGTTCTGCTTGCCATTCGATCAACTGCGAAGCCGCGTTGTTCGGAGCGAGATAGACGCTCGCTAGGGGCCACAGTTGGTCGACTAACTCGCGAGTTTCACCGACCAACCGAAATTCTCGATAGCATATCATCTTTGAGCTGATTTTCTATAATCCGCGTAGAGTAATCCGAAAGGGGTAGGATGCAGGCATTCTGGCAAAATCCGGCAAAAACCCAATCGTTTGAAGATCACTTCCTCACATCACTTCATCTCCACACTGCGTGAGATAAATGACTAACGGAGGTACTAAATACGGAGAATCGAATGTAATCATGTCTTATAAGAGCTATATAAATAGAGAACCGGCGATGTCATTGCACTGTCTCATAGTCTCGCTCACTCTAACCGGCGTAACCGTCTTCTCTTTTTATCGGTACCCCGGTGGCTGCCGACACCAGAGATGACAAGATTCGGTCCGGCTAGTTTTGAGTAGCACAGAGGCCGTAATTCGTATAAAGACTGCAGTTTGGGCTGATTGGTACAATTAACATCAGATTTTGCATAGACTAATGTGAACGAGGAGATCTAAACGGGGAGAGCTCAGGATTTCAGAATATGATTTTTTACCCTACACGGCCCAGAGTCGTGAATCTATAGTTTGCTTTTGTTATATAATAGTACAGAACCACACATGATACTCATTTAACAACCCATGACACCCCCTAAACAAGGTTCGTGTTGTATACCTACTATTCTGTATTGACCCTTATGTCACCTTAGTCAATGACACGTAGCACCGAATCGGGTTCGTCGTGATCGCGTCATACGAATCCCGGGAGCTTAACTCGTCCGATAGCTTATGGAACTCAAAATTCCACACCAATAACGCCAGCACTATGCGAGTTTCAAGGTACGCTAAACGCCTACCAAAACAACCACGTGGGCCTTGACTGAACGCCATCATAGGCCCAGCCTGGGAATCGTACACTATTTTCCCGTTCTCATCTGTCTTCAGCCAGCGTTCCGGCTTGAAAAGATGCATGTCGCTTGGGTCCCAGGATCCGTAGAGTCTCTTCTCGCGCGACGACGGACTGCGGGCGTGTTCTGATATTGGGATAGATGGAGACTGGTAGTCGGGACCATCCGAAACTAAGAATACTGCGGTTCCCTTGGGGATTTTATGTCCTAGGATGTCGGTGTCAACGAGAGCCTCACGTAGAGTGATTGGAATCGGTCCGTTGTAACGTAGAGACTCCTCGAGGAAGGCATCGAGATACGGGACCGGTGTCTTCCATAGCTCAACTATGGTTGGCTGTCGCCCCTCAGCGCGTGCCTCCGAGTACGCCGTGTTAAGAGCCTCTCGCAACTTGGTCTGAGTCTCAGGGTAGTCTGCAATGTTTTTAACCATCCCTATCAGGAGAGAAGTAATTAGTTTGGTGTCAACCCATGATATCATATCATATGAGGAGACGTACACGTTACTGCAGTGCCGCTTGTGTCATGCCCTCCGACGCTTGCAACACACAGAGTCAGTTATCGCCTTTTAGAGAGTGATTTATGAGGTTTTCAGAAGCTTCCCAACAAACTCTTATTCCAACAAGCAAGTCTTGTGGCCCGGAAGATGCTACAATGGGGGGGAATGGTTCCGAGAATTGCTCACACTAGAACATTAGGGGTCAGTTATCGGTATTTTAAGTTTCTGAACGCTGTCTTGGCCCCCAAAGAAAAGTTGGTGCTCTACAATTTGCCAAAGCAAGAAGAAAATGTTTGCGAGAATTCCTTACTATATCCAAAAAGCTGATGAATTATTAGTAACATATTCCTTCGGTTGGCAAAGAGGGGCCTTACTTCATCATGAATTCGTGGTGAGTGGAAAATTGGATCTCGTCCGGCTTTTTCCGCTGCATTCATTTCCCGCTGTAGAATGTGGTCCATGGCTGAACGCGTTCCGCTCTCGCCCTTACGAAGGCGCACGACGGCCTTATCGATCTCGTCATAGATGAATTTATCCTTCCGGGCAAAGTTTCCGGCCAACGTTGGGCTTGTCAGCATCTGGAATCGATGCATTAACTTGGGGAAAGGGGCCTTGAATTGTTCTCCGAGGTGAAGCCCGATCGCCTCAATGGCCGCGATATCCGGTAGAGTAGGAAGTTCTGGGAAGGCAACGGTTCCGTCGTCGTTAATCGCCGGCTTGTAGCCCGGCTTAGACCTAAGAAAATCCGATTGGTTTTTAACAGTGCTCTGGTCGTCTTCCAGACCGAATGCGGCAGCATTGATGATATCGATCGCTGCGTCGAATATATCCCTCCGCGCCTTGAACGGCCGACCTTCACCCAGCTCTGCCTTGAGAGTCCACAGGTCGACAAGAGCCATTGTTTTAGCATAAATCTGCGGTGCAGAAACCTGGAGGAACGGTGAGCTTGTTTATCTCGCGTTATTTGGGGATCTTACTTCGTGTAGAAAGTTGGGTGTCACTAAAAGCTTAGAGTCAGTCATAGATATATTGGGCGTGATGAGGGAGGGTTTCAAAAGCCTGCACCGTCTTGGCCCATAGAAAACGATCTTGTGTGTTAAAAGCTGACAGAAATGGCGGAAATTGCTCACTCAGGTCACGGACTAGGTCCCTATTCCCCTTAAATCGAGGATCCGCTGATGCCATGGCGATGTGATGGTTTGGGACCACATTAGCGAAGGCATTCGTGTTGAGAGGACCCCGATCAAATTCACGACTACGCCTTAACAAAATATCTTGCGATTCTCGGAAGTCGGAAAGGATTAAGCTAGGCTTTTGTAATGGTCCCATCCAGACTTGAGTGAGGGCAGAATTATGCTTCTTCGGATGCCCGCTAAAAAAAGGTCGTGTCTTTCCGGTAGTACGCAACATAGAAACCAGCTCGGGAAGATTTCCAAGGAGGTTATTCTTGGCGCTCTCATCAAAAGGAATACCTGGGATAGGCTTCGGTAAAGCCCAACGGTAGGCAAGATATAGCGCCACTAAGATAGCGACGGCATAGAAGGGAGCATTACCCATACTCAGACCTGCTAGAATCTGAGGCGCCATATTGGCTACAAACACCAGGCCAGGTGACAGAAGCAGCGAAGATGACGTGGAATATCGAGGCACTGGACGTAGTTGATTGACGCTGGCTAAAATGTCTTAATAGGAAGACTGCCTAGACAGACAAGCGAACTTATTAGTGAAATACTCAGATCCACCATCGCTGTGACTTCATATAAGTGGCTATATAGGATAGTCTAGCACGTTGTGGAACCGTGTTCCGGAATCCCACGTACATTTGGCGTTTATTAGACAAGAAGCAGTGTGGTGTCCGCGGATTCCGAACTGAGTCGTGTAGGATGACTCAGGACTCAGGGACGAACGGTCTTGATCGTTAGTTAGAGCTAGTATTCAAAGGCAGACTAGCTTTCACAGTCTTACTTATATAGCGAGAAATAGAAAATTACCTAAATACAGGCCTACCTGCCGGTATTTCCCTCTGCACATTACGCTGCATCTGCAGTGGTAAAAGATATTGACGTATCCGCCATTCTTTGTTGGTTTGAGGACATAGCCTCCTCATATCATTGGGGGAAGCCGGGGCTTATTGCCAGGATGTGGAGTTGTTGACGCGGCGTATTCCGACCTGCTGTAAGTATTCGTACTCGGCCGGCACAATTCATGACCCGTTTTGACAGGTAGCGAGAATATGTCCCCGGCCGTTAAGATGTGAAACAGGCCCGACATTTTTATTTCGCCCGCTCCCGTCGGTTCAATACGACGTGACCGCCCGACGGTGAAACCCAGGAGCATTGCTCATCTCACCGAGGGAGTATCCAAATACGGTGATGAGGCGCCAGTCTCTGTATTTCGGTATATATTTCAAGTGCGTAACACGCCGAAAAAATGAGCTGATCTTGCCCTGTCATTCACTTTTCGAACATGTGCTTTAGCCATTCGCCAATGGGCCAAGATGCAACGGCGGCTAATGCGCCAAGAGTGCGGTCCATTGCAATCGAATACCTAGGTATACTGCAGTATGCAACTAGGAGGAACGAAGAATGCCAAGTTGACAGTCAAAAGTAAACAAAAGAAAAGAAAGGGAAAATAATATACAAGGATATATGCAATGTGCAGGGGGCCAAGGAAAGAAAAACATAAAAATAGAAATATAAGCAAAAGAATAAATGGAAAAACTCCGAATCGGGGAATCGAACCCCGGGCTTGACGGCACAGGCATTCCACTTCAACCTCTGGCGACAGAGGGGAACGAAGTCAAATGAGAGCGTCAAATGTTGGCCACTACACCAATTCGGAGGTGTTGTTGACAGGGAATCGTTTAATGCTTGCTGTGTTTGGATTGGTCGTGGTGGGAGAATTGTTTGATCCTAGTTGTGTAGGATGTGGGATGTGGGATGTGGGATGTGGGACAGGGGGACGGGGGGACCGGGGGGATGACGGGACAACGCAGGCAAATGGTGAAAGGTGGTCAAAGTGGCCAGAGCCCCACTCAACCAAGCCACAATCCACAATCCTGTCTCCCGCCACAATGCTAGCGTCATTGGCATACGTATACTTTGTACTGTAGGTCCAGTTAACCCGGGTGCGGTATAATTCCGATGTGAGAGCCTCGCCTCTACCTATCCTAAAATACGAGTACTGTAAGCAAGCAAGCAGTTTATCACCCGAGGCCAAAGTGGCCGACGTCCTCCATGGCTGTGTTCGGGGCCGGGGTTCTACCAGGTATTGATTAATGCCGACTGAATACGGGAATTCGTTGCGATGATGATGATGATGATGATGATAATGATGATGGCTTTCGCTGGATGTGACCTATTCCCGAGCAGGACCCGAGGTCTCGACGTGTGTTGTTCGTCACCCCGATTATATAAGAGGGTCCTGTCTCACCCACGTGGCTCGCTGGACAGCTGCATGTTCGTACATGCCCGAATAGTGTCAAGCTGTAGCCTAGAGACGCAGAGGAGAGGCAGCCGGGGGAGCGGGGGGTAACACAGTATAGAGCGGTACATGCGGGGCGTAAATACCACGTGTCGTGGGGTCCGCATTTACAGAGCTGCAGAGATGACGGTAACCTTCTGTCTGGTACAGCTAGCTCACCCTGTAATGAAATACCATACATAAACAAACCACGGGCTATGAGGGCTACGAGGGCTAACACGGTCACCGAACCCGTAGGGAAATCCTTCACCGCACATTCAGCGAACCCTATTGAAACAGGACTTCCAAAACTAAGAAAGGTGGGGGTTATCTCGGTGTTTAATCATCATGTTCTACATGATAAGTGGGAATATATAATATATACTGCATAACCCGCATTCGCTAGCGCTGCAGTCAACACAGACAGGTGTCCCCGGTGATGATCCGTTTCGTCCAACTCCAAGTCCGGCACTGCGAATGAAGATACCCAAAGCATCGCTTATAAGATAAACAGCACACACACTCTCGCACTCACACACACACACACACACACACACACAATGCCTATCCTCTAACGACGAGAGGTGGTGGAAGCGAGGATGAATCGAGGCGGTGAAGGAGCCAGAGCACACAGACCGCTCCCATCAACATCCACAAGCTACAAAACCACCAGGGCGTGTTTCCGATTACGCGCTCAAATCCCACAGCAAGCTTTGCAGGCGCAACCGAGACAGCAGTTGACCGCCGTCACAGCAGTCTCCGCTATCTCTGCCCTAACACGTACCCCGAGAGGGACAGGGGGCACACAGTCTACCACTTGGATATACGTATAGTCCCCTTGGGTGGTCTGCGTAGCGTAGGTTGAGATGTTCCCTTCAGTGTGGACTTTCACGGCCGTTGGGAGTGTTCGGGGCACCTCCATCGCCGATGCTGTTGGCGGTGCCTGGGTAATTAGATCCTGGCCAGTCGAAACGGCAGCCGTGCCAGATGGTCCAGATGAAGGGGGAGCCCTCGCGGGCTGGCTATATCTTGGGTTAGGACTATATCTCGAGACACAAGAAACACTATACAGAGCCCCTGAGACTTACCTAGCCCCTTCGGTAGGGGCGCCGCCAGATGTACTAGAACTCATGATTGGTGATTAGTACAGTCGTCTTGCGTAGCAGTGTCCTGAAAGAAAAGTCGTAGAAAGCGGTACACGGAATAAGCGTATCCCCCAGAGAAGAGATGATAGTTGAACGTTGACTGGCGATATATATGAAGCTCGCTGGGTAGTTGGCTTCGGGATCTCGCCGCCTTATATATGCATCACAGCTCTCAGTCACGCTCACAACTTTGAAACCTACTTGGTGCACAAGAGTAGTCACGAGGTTAAGGAGTGGCCCGTTGCCCCTTTCGAGTCTGGATATAGACGGGTTCGTGAACGCATGCCTCATAAGGGGAAGATTTCGAGGCGTACAAGAGAGGACCGTGTCCAGATTAGTCGTGAGAAAGCTAATATAAAGTGTCGGGTTTTTTTCATTGGATATGATCTGATGGTCTACTTGTCTGGAATAAATGAAGCGAGGAGTACAGATGAAAAGGAAGGTTGACAGGAACTCATTGGTTGTCCCAGCTCCCTTGGTTAAACATCGCACAGGAACGAGCACTACGCTTTCTAGCGGCATCACTGGCAAGTGGTTACTCGACAAGTTAGCCATCAGGTCGCCAGAGGGAAGCGTAAAGCGTTGCATGTTGGACAATGCCACTGGCTACAATTCAAGGCAGGGTTAAAGAAGGAGGTGCAATGCTGAATGAAGAACATCGCGATGTAGAGTTGTAGAGCGGCGCATCATAAGTAAGGGAAGAACTCATTTGGTGAAAAGAGACTGCAGGCAATCAAGGAGGCAGCTATGGTTTCTCGGGAGCCAGGGACGCCAAATCAAAGACCATTTTGTCGTAAGCCGGCAAAACACAATGAAACCAGGGGGTCATCATCCCAACTCACACATTAGCAAGATAGTACCCCGGTGGGAGTCAACTTTTTTCTGAGCCCTCCGAGTAGGTCCTGCTCACAGCGCCGTTATACCCCGGAGGAATCAAGCCTTGAGCGGTAAGATGAGGTAAACACGTAGGAGCCGCTCCGTTAAAAGCTAGCGGCAGACAGAATTCTGGGGAAGCAGATCAATAGACCCGCTAGATTAACTTAAATGCCGCAGTGTGGCTTAGAGATAGATATACGAATGTCGTGTTTGTGAGATGCGGGAGCCAAGGCGGGAGACATAGGGAAGGGCCAGTCTTCAAGAGCCATTACAAGCTGAAGCAAAGCTTATGTATTACAACATACTAAGTACTCACAGTTTATTATTTGGGGGCTCAACTCTCCCTTGCCTCGAATATCTGACCAGTGTATTCACTAGTATTAGTCAATATGGACAGCAATCTAGTAAAATATAGGTGAAGGGATTACTTTCATAGCAACATCACCATTACTACAATGCTGAACGAGATATGGCTAGACTATAGAACATCACAGTTCATGAACAAAACATAGTGGTTATACTGGGGTCACATACTGGGGCCAACAATACGCCAGTATGTTCGTTTATACTAAAGTAAGTATTAGCGCACAGTTCCTGGCTTCGACAACGTATTCATCCTAAGTTCTATGAAGAAGTCTATCATCTGCCAAGGCGTAGCGTCCTTGTCGGTGGGCCAAGTCCCTCAATATCTGTTAGCCCATACATACCCGAAACCCCTTTTTTCTCCATCGCGTGTCGAATCGTCTACAGGGCTAGAGCTGCAATATCAGTACGCGAATCTAAGGCGACACTAGTTCCAATTATTGGTGCGCGTTGAGACCCGCGAGCATGATTGCTACTTCATGCAAGGCACCATACGACACACCGTATACCAACTAGCATTGAAACGGGTATTGAACCTGGCATCTCACATCACCCGAGACTAGCGGACCCAGGGGATGCAAGGGACACATAAATTGAAAGCACAGTTCCGGAAATAAACCAATACGGCCAATAATAATGACTCGATCATCGTCAATGGCCTCGCTTTACCAATGCCTGGGTATTCTACGTTTGATGTCCCTGTCTCGAAAAGACGTACATAACAACTCATCAAACATCGATGGCATACACCAATAAAATAAAAGTGTCATTAGAAACCCCGCTTCACAATGTTTTCCGGATATCATCGTAATTACAAGCCATCTCATACCAGCATTCGTAACAGTAGGTACTTCCTCATCAGTCATCAGCCATCACTATCTTAATCACCTCACCACAGTCTGCGTAACCCCGCCACCGCCGACCCCGCCCGGCCGCGCAACCACATTACGGGCGATGAAGTCGCGATTCTCGATCGTCACGCTCTTGGTCATATGATTAACTTTATAAACGCCCACAAGGCGGGCCGCGAGCTCGAACATGTTGTTCCGCAGTGAGATCACGATGAACTGTGCATTCTTGGTGCGCTCCTTGATATAATTGGCGACGATGGAGACCTGTATATTACACATCAAACAATTTCGTTAGAAAATTCCCTCAAAAATAAACGGACTGGGTAGAGAAGTGACACGACGAGTGCGAGGGGATTGAGGGTGGGGTCACTCACATTTCGGAAATCCAAAGCGGCATCAATCTCATCCATAACATACAAGGGTGTAGGTTTATAATGATGCAGCGCGAATACCAGTGCAAGACTCGAAAGCGTCTTCTCGCCACCACTCAGATTGCTAATGTTCTTCCAACTCTTCTTGGGCGGCATGACGGAGAACAAGATGCCTTCACTGAACGGATCTAGGCTGTCAACGAGTTCGAGCTCCGCATTCCCGCCCATGGTGATCATCTGATACATCTCCTTCAAGCGAAGCGAGATAGTGCTGAAGCCTTCCATGAAGCCCTCCAGTCGTAGCCTCCGAAGGTCATCGCACCGCTTCTTGGCCGAGTCCCGTTGCTGCACGGCGGTAGCCAAGTCAGAGGAGCGTGCGCTATGCTCATCGACACGACGGCGGTATTCCGCAAGGACGCTGACGTCGACATTGACATTCTGGGTCTTCTCTTCTAGAGCAGCGATCTCGGCTGTCAGCGCTTCCTTACTCATATCCTTTAGTTCATCCTGAGTGAACTGGGGAAACTCTTCGGGCTGCTTTGTAGGGGTTCGCTCTTCTGGTTCTTGTTCCTGGTCCTCGTCTTGCTCCCGGTCTTGCTCTTCGCTGTCTGCCTCGGTAGATTCTTGTGCTTTAGGTTCTGCCGCCTTCTTTGCTGGCACCTCGCCCATTAGATCGCTTACGTTTTGTAAGACTAGCTTGCCCAGCTTCTCGTTCCAATAATGCAAGCGCTTCTGGTTTTCGACAAGAGCCTTTTGGTTTTCTTCTAGTTGAT